TTAATACCCAAATGTCTGAATGAATCAGAGTTCAAAGATATGAAGAATCAATTTTGAAAAAAACAAACACACCTTTATAAATTAATCAATTGAAATATCTATAAAAATGATTGATGTTTATTTATTACAATTTGAAATATTTATAGAAGATGATCAGAATTTATTCATCATGATTAATTATTTAGATCAGAGTTCATAAATTACTGATAAAAATGAATGAACTATGATAATATTTCATAAATATCAATATTACAATAAATAAATTCTCATTATTTTCATAAATATCTCATTTGATTGGTTTGTACTAATTAAAGCATTAAAAAAAAGCAAAACTTCACCGTAAAACATTATGTAGTTAAACTTCACTGTGAAGGTTTCTTTTTGTACTTTCACAGTGTTTATGCTTTGATGTTTTATGCTTTTACGATTGGTCTCATGGGTCTCATGAAAATATGATAATCTTATAGAAATTTTCAAGTGTCAAAAACATTTTTCCCGAACTGAATTAGTTCACACATTTATTACCTTGATCACTCTAGATTTATTACTATAAATGGAAACTTTGTACTTAAAACACGTTTCTCAATTATATACTGATCATGTGAAAGCCGAAATTTAAAAAGTSAAGAAAAGTGACTGCTCGTCTCAATTTTCAAATCAGAGAAGTTCACAAAAGTGGTTGTTTGGACTTTTGTGCACCCAAATTATGATCTATGATACAAAATACACATTCCATACTCCATTGGCGGGTCCAGAAACTTTTGTGCACATGTAAGGGTGTCAAAAAAATTCTGAAACCAAGTAACCCCAACCAAACCAGACGGTTCGATTAACAAATAAAGTATTTTTACATAACCTAACAAGATTTGATATAAAGAAAGCATAAATTAATGGACAATTAGATGTAAGGCTTTTATTTTCTATATGTTATCGTCAAATTTCTTCTTGAAAACAAACAAAATCAACATCTTATCCAAATGCAGGGTATGGGATAAGATGTATACAAATTTAATTTCCGTCTTTTAAGACAAAAATACTGTTTTTTAGAAGATCAAACGAAATATCTTACGTTTGTTATGCTCAATCAATCAACTTGTCACACATGTATTACATTGATCACTGGAGATTTATTACTATAATTAGAAAGTTATGATTAATGATTGTGACTCGTGTGAACGTGCATATTTAGAAAGTCAAGAAAACTGGTAGCTTTTTATCACGATTTTCAAATTTAGAAAATCAACAAAAGCCGTAATTTGACTTTTCTCCAAAATAGTTTGAATTTTGACAACATAAATTATGACCCGTAATACAAAATGCACAATCCATACTCCACTTGCATACCCCTTACTCTTATCTTGTTCCTTTATTTATACCTCAGTATTCTTCATATTCTTCAAACTCATCCAAAAATGACAGACTGTGCAGGTAAATCTCATTTTCTCTCTTTCAATTTGGTATAACTTTTTGCATATTTCTTATGATTTGAAGAAACTTTTGCAATTTTATAAGTTGGAAGATCAATTAAACAAGTTTTTGATTGGATATACAGGAAAGAGTTCGTGGCCGGAGTTGGTAGGAAGGACGGGG